TGGTCTCCCAAAAATGGTGCCTCTGTCCCTTTAAACCACACAGTTAAAGAGAAAAATAGTTTAAGAGACCATAACAACCAAAAGAATGTTAACAAAGCAAATACCCCAAAAAAAACTTAGTCCCTAACTGCCATATTACACAATATATACCCACATGGGCATTACCAAGTGACGTCACCTAACATTAACGTCACATGCTCTTGGTTATATTACTTGATTTTTGGGTATATGATGTTTTATTTCATTTACACTCAGCGTTCAAAGGGTTATGTACTTTTCAAGAAAATAAAATAAATAGAATCTTGAGATAATTGAAGAACAGGGCAGAAGTCAACTGATGAAAACAAAAGTACTCTTCTGATGAGATAAGGACTAAATGAGTCTAAAAATAGTTCAAAGCTAAGATTTGTGTGCCGAGTGTAGTTTGTAAACTCGTAAAACTGTTAACACAAAGTTCTCATATAATCATTCCATCATCTTTAAACGGTACCTCTACATCTTTTAATTGGTACCTGGGTAAAAAATAAAATGTCTAATGAAGTTACGTAAAATAAGTTGGAGTATGATATAGTTGTCACGTAAAATTAGTTCTGGCACTAACCTGTAGGGTGCAAGGTTATTTTAGTGATTACAATAAGTTAAAAAAAATTATAGTACCCTGGGTCTTTTATAATAGTATTATTACGCCATAATTTGGTTACTCCTTAAAGCAATTGAATGCCATAGTTTTGTGTTGAATTTGACTTTGAATTCAGCTGAGGTGAAAGCCATGGTACATGATAAATATATATTAAACCAAATAAACAATAGTTGTATGTATGTAGACTCTCCAAATGGAATTCTGCCCTGCCTTAGAGTGGCATCAATGTTCCCAAAGAAATAGCCTGCCACAACTGATACAGTATAGCTATTCAACTTGTGATAAGGGGTCTGGTTGACAAACCTAGCTATAGAATGAATGCCATTTGGAAACAAAGAAACAACTATATTTTACAAGAATAATAACTTAGGTTCACAGTTAAGGATCCTTTCTACCAGCTGGTCCTTGGCCAAACCTCTTGGCATTGATTTTCCTCAGATTATCCATACCAATTTAAACCTGGGTCCACTGGAATTATGAGTGAAGATGACTTATTCAAGGTCATGGGACTTTCACATGCTGACCGAGATTAGAACCCACAGACTCCATTTGTTCAACGAAATCAAGCAAATCATGTCATGCATGTCCAATACTCTAACCAACTGTGCTATAGAATCCCTCAAAGAATAAAGTTGAGCTTTTCGCTGTCTTGCTAGTGACAACAAGACAGTACAAAGCGTCTTAAAAAATAGATTTAATGCATCTGCCCAAAAATCCAAATCATATCATAGAATGTACAAAGAGTTAACCTATTTTATAACTTTTACATAGTGTACTTTAAAAAAAAAATTATGTAAAAATGTATAAAATGCCAGACGGCAAAATAAGTATAGTCTAAAAAGCGGATCTGGAATCACTCAGGTACAATTATTTGTCAGAAGAGCTGTCTTAGTGGAAATTTGAGACATTCAAAGACATTATTTTCTTGTCTGTTTTTTATTTCTGGTAAATATCTCCTGTTTGAGTAAGTTTTTTGTACAATGTTTAATCAGGGAGTCAAGATTGCATAATTATTTTTTATAAAAAATTGATGCACTAATGTTGTTAATTGCTTTTGAAATAGTTGTCATTCTGAAAGAAAAAGGGGAAACATTTCTTGGTAAAAAAAAAAATTCAGTTACAAAACGCATTTAGCTACATGTTAATTTTGCATTAAATATTAAGTTAATTGCTTTTGAAATACTTGTCATTCTGAAAGAAAAAGAGGAACATTTCTGAGCAAAAATAAATTAATTTAGTTACAAAATGCATTTAGTAAACATGTTAATTTTGTTGTTTTTCATAAATGTAACTTCATCCTGTTCACAAGCCATTATCTTCAAAAGCTGATATTCACAGCTGCTTGTGTCTGGATGAAATATGAGCGAAGTTTGCCAGTTTTTATATTGTTTTATGCATTAAGAGAATAATGAGTTCTGGTATAAAATTTAATTACTGTGAGAAACTAAGGCTGTATTTACATTGTATTATTAGAGGAATCTGATAGATACATATTGAAATGTCAAACTATTACTAACTGTGTCTAATACCTTGACAGTAATAGCCACCATCTTGTATTACAGTTTGTAAATTAAGCAACTTGATTGGATTGCATGCCAGCGAATTTAGCCAATCAGTGCCTTTGACAGATAGACTAAAAAATGTGGCTGTGCATGTTCATCAAGGGATATGATTGGCTGTTTTTGGTAATGTATAATCCAATCAAATCACTGTATTTACAAACTTCCATAATACAAGAAAGGTGGTTATTGCTGTCAAAGAATTAGAGGCAGTTAGTAATAGCTTGAAAATGAACATATAATTGCCTATTGCAAATTATAGTTAATATTGTTTTTTTGCAATGCTCTAAGCAGTAAGCGCTTACTCTTTCCTCAGACACTTACCTTTGTCATTCATTTCCATCATGAATCATCCATCATGAATCATCCGTCGGATATTTGAGCAGCCTCAGCGGTCATGTTCGGCTAGAGAGCCAAATCAACAGCCCTGTCAATACCTGCAACAAAAATTGGCGGGAAAAAAATTGGTGTGCCTACAACGTAATGGAATAATTGTGTTCACTTAAAATATTTAATGAGTTTTTCATCTTTTGAATGAGTATAGTGGTATACGTATGGACCATTTTCTCTTCATAACTTTAATGATCTACTGTAACGAGAAACCTTTTTTAATGAAAAGATCAAAATAAAATTCTATTTTGATACAGAAACACTAAAAAAATATTTGTTTGTGAAGTGTGTATCAAATCTTTTGTAAATATGCCCTCATTCTTTTACGCGTCTGCCAAAATATTGAGCAAAAATATGCGTTGAATGCAGTAATTAATGAATGTTTTATCTCTGCCTTCATCGTGTTTCATGTGTTAGTTTATTTTTAGAGGAACAGAGTTTCAAAATATGAAAACATCAATTATTCTTAACGACTTAAAAAGTCATTAAACCTATTCTCTTTCAAGTTTTAAATGTTCTTCATTACTTGTAAATAAGAATTAGGTTTTGTATTTGTTGACTTCTAGATGGCTTATGTCTGCCATTGGAGCTGCATGTACTAAACCCTTTGAACCTTTTTAAAGATATCAAACTTTATGCTTGTTGTCAAGAATTTATAATTGAATATATAATTTCTGCACAAAATTTTGCTGAAAAAGGTAAATAACCTCTGGAATCCTGAAAGCTTGTGTGCTGATTTTTCATACCCCTTTACAGCTTGGTTAATTGGATTAATGAGGAAAGAAAACTTCATCTAAATGAAATGAATGGAGTTTTACATCCTATCCTACTCTGCTGCACCTGGATAATAAAGACAGGCAATACCATGCAGTGTGCAACCAGGACAATGGCATTAGAGTTTGGTCACAAGACTGTCCCATACTACGTAGATGGCATTGTAAAAATTTAGTATGTAACCAGAGTAATTCATTCTAATGCCCTACCATCTAAAATCACAATCTAGTCATATTGAAGCACCAATCGGACATGACTGGCAAATCAACAATCATATTACAAACAAAAAAGGTTTGACAAGATCTGATCTCATACTGCTGACAAACAAATTTCTCATCAAAAGAGTTGATTTAAAATGATAAATAACGCACCAATATTTGCACTTACAGCATAAAAATACTGTTTTTGTGGATAACTCAGTCTGTAGCTAGTTGGATTGTGGGTTCGAAGCTCTCCCCAAGGTAAGAAAACTTCTGATGCCTGTGCCAGTGCTTTCAGAAGTCGGCCTGGTGTCAGCTTGGAGACCCTAATACCTAAACTCATGAATTAATGTATATGGAAAACACCATTCAACTATGTTATATTAAGTTTTGTGTTTACCTATCAGTAATTACATCATGTTATTTTTAATTAGTAATTAAGATAGAATCAAGATACTAATTACCTACTGATTAAATCAAGATATATCAGATACTGTATATATATATACAGTAGAAACCAAGATTCTTATATATCTCAATTATTGTTATATTTAAACTGTGATCTATTAGATTAATATACTGCATAAAAATAAATTATATACAACAACTTTCCAACTAAATTTTCCTTCATTGTACACTGCGTCATCAATCTTTTGGTTTTTTTGTTCTTTGATTAAAGAGTGATTGCCAGTTGATATGTGGTTTGAAATGAATTACACAACAAAATTTGCCATATTGTACGCTGCATTATCCTCACATGCAGTAAATTCAACAATTTCAGTTTACTTTACTTGACTATAGCTCATCATGCTGCTGACACACGTTTCAGATACAAAATCCTGATCAGGACAGGTAGATTGGCATTGAGTTTCTTAAATTGGATAAATAAATAAACTACTTTTAATGAAAAGTATGACATCAGGTTGACCTACGATATAAACAAAATGAAAATATCAAACAAATAGAATTAGTTATGTGGGCACTCTAAATCAGAGGAAATCAAGCACTTTAGGTAGACAGAATAAAGTTTTTACAGTCCGTAACGTGCAGAATTTGATGAAGATATCTCTACAAAGAAAATCGCATTTGAATTTTTTTATCTAACGAATACAAATATAATAGCTTAAACCTTTGAGTATTAAAATGACATTAGTTTCTACATGTTTGTAGACAAATTTAGGATTAAATTTCAAAAGAAAACAAGTTTAAAAAGTTTGTACACATGTTTTTAATTATGCCTTCAATGCATCTTAATCAAATTCTAAGTTCAAATTTGACTTTCTTTCATGTCAGTTGAAAGCTACAGGGTTTATTTAATACATGTACTGTTTAACTTGTAACACAGGGCGGTATAAATGAAATACCGGTAAACTAAAAGGGCTGGACTCCTAATTGAAGTAAAATTGAGTTTTGAATTTCTGAATTGGGTTAGTGAAGATGAGCAATTCAATGTGTCAAATTAAAGATGTTCAGATGTTCTCTTTTCAGGTCATATCCAATCAAATTGAACCCAATCAAGTCAAATCAAACCCAATCAAATCAAAAGAAAATATTCAGATGTTCTCTTTTCAGGTCATGTCCAATCAAGTCATGTCAAGTCAAATCAAATCAAAAGCAAATATTCAGATGTTCTCTTTTCAGGTCACGTTAAATCAAATTAATCTAAATTCAATCAAAGCAAATCAAGTCCAATCAAATCAAATCAAACCCAGTCAAATCAAAAGCAAATATTCAGAAGTTCTCTTTTCAGGTCATGTCCAATCAAGTAATGTCAATTCAAATCAAATCAAATCAAATTCAATCAAATCAGATGTTCTCTTTTCAGGTCATGTCCAATCATGTCAAATCAAATCAAGCCAAATCAAACCCAATCAATTCAGAATCAAGTATTCAGTTGTTCTCTTGTGTATTTTCAGGTAAAAATGTATTAACAAATCAACCATTCCATCTAAACTGGGCATGGATCTCGCTAGAAAGTAAAGAGATAGAGGTGAACGAAACAGCTAATAAACTGAAAGTAAAATTAATTAGAAGAGGCTACCTGGGAGAGACATCTTTTGTCAGTAAGTATATTGTGAATTTTAAAGCTATGTGAACTCCCTGAAATGGATATCAATTTGACCAACTCAGTTGCCTAGTGGTATCAGATGTTTTGAAGGATAAGCATGACTTAGGTCTGTCCTCCATTGTTTGTGAACCTGCTGGAGGCTAGTATACTCTGGATAATTTTCGTTACATCAACGAGTATAACTGAATTATTCTAAGCTGGAAAAAAATGGAAAATGGAATGAATGGAGATTAATGTCCTACTTTTCTGCACCTTATGGGCTAATGAAGATGGACAGCACAATGCAGTGTGCAATGAGAGAAATTTTGCCAGGACAGCGGCATTAGCCTTATCTTTTTCTATTTCCAACTGTTGAAGGATATTCAATGTGCACAGGGCCTCTATTTATTGTCTCATCTGAACGATCAGACGCTTTTTCCATGTCAGCCCCTCTGACCTAGTTGTATCACTTACATTGGAAACTGTGTTGAATAATCCAAAGGTATTACTCAATCTATGGTAGGGTTGACAACCCTGGACCTTGTTAGGTAACAAGCTTCTTATTTACTGAGCAACTGGGGCTATCGGAAAAAATGGAATGAAAACTTATTGCATGATAATTCGTAAGTGTACAAAATGACAGTTTCATCAAAAATGGATCAGACTTTTTTTAATATACAAATAATATACAATGTATAATAATAAACTATACTTCCTTTCAAAGAATAAGAAATAATGTTTAAACAATTTGTGAGGTGTATTAGGAATAAATCTCAGATGACAAATGATGTAGGATTTTAAGCCAATTATCTTTCTGTGTTAGATAGTGGTATTTCTTCTGAAATTCAATGAACCTCAGAAATCTCTCAGAGAAATTCCATAATCTCTGTAAACTCTATTTTTTTAGTTTTTTCTGACAAATTGTTATTTAGATCTGTTTAACATTTGTGGTAAATCCATTAATCTTTTCAATGGCACCACAGATAATGTTGGATTATCAGATAATCATATCTAAGAATGATGAAAGCTGTTGATAAAAAAAAGAGTTAATATTAGAATTAAAGTAATTTATTTTTGGCCATTAGAATTATGAAGAGATGAGGTTTTTTGGAAGTTATTTTTGGTTAATATTTTCTTCAATTTAACAGGTTTTAAAGACTGTTTTTAGACTGTAGTTTAAATATCATTAGATGAAAAAGAAAAAAAAATAACCTTAAAGGGATTGTAAAGAGGTTTTTCTAAATTTTTTATGTGTATCAGGGACACTGATAGCTTCAATCTGCACCATTCCAATTTTCATTCCGACGTCTGTGGTTCTTACAATTCCACTAAAACTAACACGTTTTATGACGTCACTAGAGGCGAGCTACCAGAAGCTACTATTGATATCTATGCAGTTCCCCTCTTGTGATGTCTTAAAACACGTTAGTTTTAGTGGAATTGTAAGAACCACAGACTTCAGAATGAAAATTGGAATGGTGCAAATTGATGCTATCAGTGTCCCCGATACACATAAAAAGTTTAGAAAACCTCTTTACAATCTCTTTAATAAAAAATGATGCAAGATGAAAAATACTGTAAATCCTTATGAACAACTGAATTTGGGCAGCTCTGAGTACAGCTTCAGACTTTGATGTAATTTCTGTCAGTTTTAAGATATTAATTTTGTATGATTTCAGCTATTAATGTAATCAATGCTACAGCTAAAGTTGGTGAAGATGTCCATAAAAGATTTGCCAAACAGGTTCAGTTTAATCCAGGTAATGTATAGTTTACTTCTAGTAGTAATAAGTTATTTGTCAATTCAAATTACTTGGTGCTTTATCTGTGCAAGATCCTCAGACCTGCTGTGAATTACATGGAGAACAGAATTTGAAAATCTTAAGATGTTATTTGGAAAAAAATCCTGGCATAATTCCTGCAATCCTGAAACAATGCAAAATGCATATTTCCACTAAAATATTTTAGATTTTGGGCCTTGAGAAAAAGAGGAAGGGGGGGGGGGGGGGCATAGCATTACTGGTCCTACCTCTCTCTCTTGAAGCTGGCAATGGTAAGAATTTTTTATCCAGTTTCCCATAAACTGTAGAAAATATGTACTTTATCAAATAGCCCTTTTCCTATGATCTAGAAATAGTTTTTATAGGTCTATTTTATGAGAGTTTTATCTAGTAAGGGTACAATATTTTGACACAGGCCTTGTATGTAATCATTTCAATCTTATAGCCTATACAATAGATACAATAGATAACTCTTTATATACCTCATCTCAATTTAGATGTATCTGTATCTATTTCTCACTTTTACGAGAAATGTTTCTTTTCCATCTAAGCCTCTTACCCGAGGGCACTCTACAGATTATAACTTCCTTTTGTTATCCTGTTTTGAAAGAAAATAGAAAAAATGATTTAGTCTTTTTTAATTTCCATTTTGTGAAATTGACTCAAAGCTTATAGAATGTTGAAGAATTATGTAAAGCACATCTTTCAATCATATATAATACATAAGATATATTTATAGTCAAAAGGCTATCATGTTAAAAAATAAATTAGATTCTTTTGTCTGCATACATAAGAGGTGATGTTTACAAAACAAATTGGTTTTTCATCTTAAAACAAACAAATTAATGTTAGATTTAAAGTAAAATTTGATAGAATTTTTTAGAATATGTGGAGATATTTTGACCAATGAAAAGAAGTGTATCATTTTGAAAGCTTGATATAGCTGCTTTTGAGCAGTGGTGTCACCAGCCTCCTTAGACTGAGGATACAAATAGAGGGCAGACTGATTAAATGCAGGGAGGGGGAGAGGGGAGAGGGTATGGGGGGGACAACTGTTGAGATTGAGAATCAAAATTCGTCAGCACTGTGGAAGTATGTAGGTGCAAATGTCCCATGGATAAGCTAAGACAGTTCTCACCAAAGAAAATTTTTTGAAAAAATTTTAAATCTGTTAAGAAAGAGGGGGTACAAATCATTTTTCTATGTGGGCAAATGTTACCCCAATGGTGCTGTCACTGGTTTTGAGACAATACATTTACTTGGTCAAATTATCTTCACAATGTCATAAAGAATCAATTCAAATTTGACCAACAATAATTCGTCTAGTGCATCTATGACTCTCTTATATGTACTTGGCAGGACATGGACATTTGACAATGAGCAAGTGGTAACTTGTTATGAATAGAACTGCATGATGCTTTATTTTGAAAATATAACTCTTGAATTTCCAGGTCAGACAGAAAAGACATGGCGAGTTAAACTATTGGATGATACAGTATTTGAAGAGAAAGAAACATTACAAATTAAACTATCAGATCCAATAATGAGCATTATAGAAAAACCAGATCTAGCTATAATCACTATTATAGATGATGAAGATGGTAAGGAACAAATCAATTTGTAGCAATTTGTGATGAATATACATGGATAAGCTTAATGCCAATGTCCTAAGTTGCTCTCTTATTGTGGAGGCATGTTTGTGGTCTGTTGGTTTTGAATTGTGGGTTTACACTGATAGTTTATTCTATAAAGCAATTGCAAATGAATGAAGTGCAGTGTACTCTGTAATACTTTCATTTTGTTTACGTTCGCGAACAAAGCGTCATAACGAGTCATTTGATTTCAATGGCTGAAACTTTATTATAAAGACAACAGGGCCAATTTTGATTGGCCAATAGTTGGCTATGAATATGTAATTTCTATCACTATATTACTATGGTCTCGAGAAAGTATGACGAATGGTCTTGTGTTGGCTGTCAACCCTATAACCTATACAACTGGTATATCATATCATATGCTGAAATGGCGTCAGATGATTTTGTTTATCTTATGGATCTACTGTTCAAACGCTCTCTTCCCATTACAGAATCAGTGGTACAGTTTGAGAAAGGTGTATATCATGTTGGTGAAGATATTGGTGAAGTATTGATACCTGTCAAACGTACTGGGGATCTTTCTGATGAATTTATGGTCATCTGCTCCACCAAACAAGGTAAAAACTTTGACCCACAGCAAAAATGAAATGCTCCTTATTTAACTTAAGCAGATGGAGAATGCAGTCTGCAAGGGAAATTATTATTTTATATTACGAACTCTCTGTGAATCTTTAATATGCACAGCCTGTAGCACACAGCTTCAGTTTATTGTCCCATCTAAGCGATGCTTGTTCTTGACCAGAACCTCAGAGCACCAGAAATCAAGAAATCAAGGGTTAAAATCTGTGTTTTTGAGGAATTGGCAGCCATGGACAGTAAGATTTAGGACTGATTTGACAATTCTACTTCATTCTTTCTTCAGGTTCAGCAACAGGAACTATACCAAGTACAGTGACCTCCTTCTCTGATTACATCACTAGACCAGACGACCATCGTAGTATTTTACGTTTTGATAAAGATGAAGATGTGAAGTACTGTCGAGTTATGATTATTGATGATTCACTGTTTGAAGATGAGGAAGAATTTACTGTGGTCTTGTCTGAACCGATGGGAGGTAGAATTGGTGGTGTCAATGCATCAAAAGTCATTATTGAACCAGATAAGAATGATGGTAAGCAAATCTTTTACAAAATGATAGAATAGCAATTCTGACTGGATAGTTTTCTTTACCTGGCTGTGAACTAGATGGTCATTTAACTTCTGATTTTTCCGATATGCTGCTATGATTTGTTGTTTTTAGATATTTTATAGGAATTTCCATTTTGTTAAATGACTACATCATGGATTTTAGGCCCTGACTTATGGATTGTTGTCATTAGTATTTGTCGGATTTCCTCTTGGTGCTGTTGTTGCTGTTGTTGTTGTTGCACAAAGAATTTTTTTGTCTTTTTCAGAACCAACATTTTATTTTGGTAAAGGAGAATATATGGTAGATGAAAGTGATGGATTTGTAGAAGTGAAAGTATGGAGAACTGGTACTGACCTGAGTAAAGCATCTAGTGTTACTGTTAGATCCAGGAGAACAGAACCAAGATCTGCTGAAGGTATGTGGTTTGTCTCTTGGTACTTTAGTGGGCAAGAGCATATCATATTCTCATGCTGCTGACATGTGCTTTAGGTAAAAAAAACAACTTTGGGACAGTTGGTTTAGCTGTTGAACTCTTAGAGTAGGATTTACAGATCTTGTGGACTTCATTTCATGTTGCTGACTGGGTTTCAGATATGTTACTTTCATCAGGACAGCTGTTTAGGAAATGGAGTAATTAAGAAGTTAAAAAGCTGTAAGGTCTTCATCCAATTTGGGTTGAGGGAAGCATTTTTAGCTTTAAGCTCAAGATTCAAAGGCATGCTTTACTAACTGAAACATTTTCTGTCAAATTTACAGCTGGATTAGATTATATAGCAGTCAACAGAATACTGGAGTATGCTCCTGGGGTAACCATGCAGTTAGTGAGGATAACCATTCTGGATGATCTCGGTAGACCTAAAGTTGAGGGCTTAGAGAAATTCCAGGTTGTTTTGAGGATGCCTATGGGGGCCATGTTGGGTGAACCAAGTATGGCAGTTATCACTATTAATGATTCTGTTTCTGATGGTAAGTTTACTTCAAATTTTGCGTCTGCTTATCCATTTTGTGAGAAATTTCTTTGTTTGATGCACTGCACATCTTTTCATACTTGTTTGAGATGATGATGACAATAGACATTTCTTTGAGATTTGAACTGGTTTCAAAGTGCAGGCTTCAGTATGGACGCTGGCTGACATAGTCAAGTTGTCATAGTTATTTTACTTGTCAAACATCAGAAGTGAAACAGACTCAAATGATCTATTCAACTGAAGATATATGCAAGTCAAATTTAGGAGGGACACATGTTGAAATTGTTCAGTTGCCTGAAGATGACATAGCTTGACAATTTGAGTAACAAACAAACTTCAATGTCCATTTTATAATTTATAGTACCTAGTATGGAGTTTAAAGAAGACAGCTATACTGTTTATGAAAATGATGGTATAATAGAAGTTACTGTTAAACGGTCAGGAGATACTAGTAAAGAAGCTACCGTGCGATGCTATACCAGACAAAATACTGCCAAGGTTGATACTGACTATCAAGAAAGACCTAATACTAATGTCTCTGTTGTTACTTTTAAACCAGGTAAGTAAATTCAGCAGACCAAATTATACAGAATACCTTAAATATAATTGTTACTCATAGCTGCGGAACAGAATAGTCAGTAGTGAATTGGTGTCAAAGGTCTAAATCCTACTCAAAATAAGAATAATCAAGATGTCACCACGGCCAGTGCTTTCTACGGCCAGTGGTTTGGAAGGTCTGTCTTGGGTTGGTTCTCAACACCTATCACCTAAACCATACCCTAACTAACATTATTACTTGTTCCTTCCCAAATGAATATGTGAGAATTTTTACTTGAAAGGGGGTAGTTTTTAACATATTTACTCTTGTTTTATAACTTCATAAATTTTTAATGTAACATAAACATATTTCCCTTCAAGAAATTTTACTCAAAATGTCCCGAATTTTAGCCAAAGATTTCCCTCCACAATTAACCCCTGAAAGTGGCCAAAACAATCTGAAAACTTGTTAGCTACCTACTAATAACCAAAAGACCTCCCCCCTCCTCCCAAAAAAATAGGGGTGTCAATATAAATTTCAGTATGAAGTATGTCTTGGTTACAAAATGTGTTCAATTAATAGGGCAGCTAAACTTTCACAAAGTCCTGCTTTTCAAAAACAACAAAAGATGTAGTGAAAAACTGAAACAGTCTTTGGAATTTCCATTTTGTTATCCTGCTAGAAAATGTGATTAAGTACTAACAGAATTGGTATTGAAACAACAAAACTTGACAATTGATACTGCAGGTACCAAAACCAAAAATTTGTTTCTATTATTTTTACCTCTCAAATTTCACAAATTAGAGGTCAAATTTGGGTGGTGCACTTTCAAATAGTTTTGACAGATTTTAAAAACATTCTTATGCTTCTACTTTTTGACTTTAGAAGACATATTTTGTTTCTTCTGCAAATGTTACCAATTTGACTGAAATTCTAAACATCTAGAATAACACATCAGGATAGCATGGTTTATAGGAATTATAGTAAATCATAGAGTCACAATATCAGGATATTGATCTTATAATATTAGTATATTTATCTTTTCAAATAAGGATATTGATCTTTGCAAAATCAGAATATTTAAAAAGTCAAAATATAGATCTTTTCAAAATCAGGATAATGATTTAAAATATGAGAATATTGATTTAAAATATCAGGATATTGATGTTGAATATCAGTTCATTTAAAATATCAGGATAATTATTTAATGATTTAAAATATCAGGATAATGATTTAATGATTTAAAATATCAGGATATTGATCTTAAATATGAGAATATTGATTTAAAATATCAGGATAATGATTTAAAATATGAGAATATTGATTTAAAATATCAGGATATTGATTTTAGATATGAGAATATTGATTTAAAATATCAGTATATTGATGTTGAATATCAGGAAGTTCATTTAAAATATCAGGATAATAATTTAATGATTTAAAATATTAGGATAATGATTTAATGATTTAAAATATCAGGATATTGATCTTAAATATGAGAATATTGATTTAAAATATCAGGATAATGATTTAAAATATGAGAATATTGATTTAAAATATCAGGATATTGATGTTGAATATCAGGAAGTTATTTTAAAATATCAGGATAATGATTTAATGATTTAATGATTTAAAATATCAGGATAATGATTTAATGATTTAAAATATCAGGATAATGATTTGATGATTTATATTATCAGGATAATGATTTTAAATATGAGAATATTGATTTAAAATATCAGGATATTGATGTTGAATATCAGTTCATTTAAAATATCAGGATAATGATTTAATGATTTAAAATATCAGGATAATGATTTAATGATTTAAAATATCAGGATATTGATTTTAAATATGAGGATATTGATTTAAAATATCAGGATATTGATTTTAAATATGAGAATATTGATTTAAAATATCAGGATATTGATTTTAGATATGAGAATATTGATTCAAAAGATCAGGATATTGATTTTAAATATGAGAATATTGATTTAAAATATCAGTATATTGATGTTGAATATCAGGAAGTTCATTTAAAATATCAGGATAATAATTTAATGATTTAAAATATTAGGATAATGATTTAATGATTTAAAATATCAGGATATTGATCTTAGATATGAGAATATTGATTTAAAATATCAGGATAATAATTTAAAATATGAGAATATTGATTTAAAATATCAGGATATTGATGTTGAATATCAGGAAGTTATTTTAAAATATCAGGATAATGATTTAATGATTTAAAATATCAGGATAATGATTTAATGATTTAAAATATCAGGATAATGATTTGAAATATCAAGATATTGATTTGAAGTATGAGAATATTGATTTAAAATATCAGGATATTGATGTTGAATATCAGGAAGTTGATTTAAAATATATTTGATAATGATTTAATGAAGTAAAATATCAGGATAATAGTTTTATTTGTTAAGCTAAGTATTTTAAAACCTAATCCTTCCTTGCAAGGAAAATATCTTTGATCTAATTCATTATACTTTATCACAATTGAACCATAGATTTTAGTTTGATTGACACCTGTCAATCAAAAACAGTGGTGCTATATTATGAATTGAAAATAAATATTTATATAATTAATACAGTATTATTTATAATAAATATCATGAACATCTGTTATAAAGTATAAGAAGATATTAACTAATATATATAACTAATTATTATGATATACTCTTAACACCCAAACACCTGGTCCATACTTAGATTAATACACTTCTTTATTATGGTGAAATTTTGTGATATGCCAAAGAGCTCACCTTACGCCATGATGTCAGGCCAAAACGTTAAATTCATAAAGCTATCTGAAAGAACTCATAAACGTAAAACTGCATTTCATTTCAGTAATTTTGCTGAGGCTTCTTATGTGTATTGGGGACACTGATGGGATACTGATGGGATCGATTTGCAGCATTAAAATTTTCAGTCAGACGTCAGTGGCTGTTGCAATTAAATTAAAAGTTTCTCGGATATTAAAAGTAGATTTTGTATTAGAGACGTCATAAAGGGCTTAGTTTGAAGTGGAATCGCAAGAACCACAGAGGTCTGATTGATAATTTGAATGGTGCAAATTGATTCTATCAGTTTCTCTAATGCACATGAGAGTTAGAAAACCTACATACGATCCCTTTAAGATGACAATAGTATGATATATATATATAGAAACCGTGAACATGCTGCTATCATAATATTATTCTCAAATATGTTCCTTATTGAAAGGTCTGTTCTTTTAACAGGAATTGCCGTGTTCCGAGTTCGTGACATATTCTTGTAAAATGTCTCTGTATAATGTTGAGGTCTAATTGCTAGATCTGGAATCTATTTCCTACAGAAGTTTACTATTTACATGAATTTTAAGTGAATTGTTAACCAATGATGTGATTGTATGGTATTTTAGTTATGTTGATGTACCATTAACATAACACATCATTGCTGTTGAAAAAAGTCAAATTTTGAAAGTAACGTTTTCAACAATACCTTTGGGATTTGATGGAAAAATCCAAAGTTCATAAATAATTTGATTGTTTGGTATTTAAGATATTTTGATTTCATTAATGTAGAAAAAAGTCAAATTGTCTTGAACAATCCTTTTGGGATTTGGTCAGAAAATGAAAGAATCCAATTGAAATTTCACTTATTTTTGTCTGAAAATATGTAGCGCCATTTTTTTGACCAATCAAACCTTAGTCTCAGAAACAGAAATTTTAGAGCTTACAATTCTGCCAAAGGTTTCATTTAATTGCAAACTTACCAGTTGTCAGATTCTCATTCTAAAAAGTTTAACAGATAGCTGTAATTGAGTTTTTTAAGATGAGGAAGAGTTGATAATTTCACAGACTAAATTCTTCAAGTTTCCTAGAGATTGGAAATATTTCTTTTTTAAAGTTCTTTTGTAGCAAAATGTTCCATCTGATTCTAAAAGAGAAAATTTTTTTTTTTACAATGATAGAAACTTAGGTTCAGGAGGATCCTTTGTACCAAAAACAGTCCTTGACAAAAACTCTTGGTATTGATCTTTTGCACATTATCTGTACCCATTTACAGCTTAGTTGCTCTTCAATTTTTCAGGTAAATCAGAAGAGAAATGTATTGTTAAGATAACCAATGATACAACATTTGAAAGAGATGAAGAATTGAGATTGGTTTTAGGAAATCCATTAAGCGATGGTGGACCAGCTAAAATTGGACGTGAAAACACCACAAAGATCCTTATTAAGGACATTGGAGATAGTAAGCTCTGTTCTTTTTACAAATTGTAATGATTAGTTGTGGTCTAAGCATGCCGTGTGTATTTCCTTGCTATTTCACATAATGTAATATAGAAAGAAAAGAAAAATAATTTTGTTACAAGGTTAACAACTTAGGTTCACAAGGATCATGTTTATCCATTGGTCATTGGCCAAACCTCTTGGCATTAATCTTCCATGGAAGATCAAGCAATCGATCAAGGGTACTGATAGAAAGAAAAAGATAGAAAACCCCTGCTATAGATAGAGAAAACCCCTGCTATAGATAGAGAAAACCCCTGCTATAGATAGAGAAAACCCCTGCTATAGATAGAGCAAACCCCTGCTATAGATTAAACATATTTTTGCATTTCTTCCAGAACCAGTAATACGACTAAAAGAGACTAAGTATATAGTAAAGGAACCAATGTTTAAAGAAGAAACTAGTATAATGAAAGTACAAGTTATAAGAGATGGTGATCTATCTGATACCTCTGTAGTGTCTGTTAACACTAAAGATGGTTCAGCTGAATCAGGCAAAGATTATAATCCTATTTATAAAAGTAAGGATACATTATTTTTACATGACACCTGATACCACTTTTCATTATGAAATACTTACTCACTTATTCCTCATGTGAATAGGTCATTAGCTGCTACCAATATTTCGTCAATATAATTATGTTGTTTGGGTTTCATTTTGTTCGTTGGTACTATTAATTTCAGAACATCATCAAGTTCTTGATTTTATGTTTTGCACATTTTCTGTGAGTTCATTCACTCATTCAATATGAGTTTATTTGTTCACATGATAAGCTAGCTCTGTTAATCTGGCACAATACCAAAAGTTTTGTCAAATTTGGCTTTTGTCATGCCTTCAGTTAAAATTTCTCACAACTTGCAAAGCAAAAAAAAATCAGAACCACTCCTATGAAATATGAGCTTTTAGTCTGGCTATAACTGTGACAATATCCTACCTGTATATCATGTCCCTGAAACAGGTACCAACAGATTTTTTGGGCTATTGTTTTTAATTTTGAAATACAAATATTTATTAAAAAAACAAGAAAAATTTTTGGTCACGTTTGAAACAATCCGATGTAATTTCTTAGAAAAAGGAACTTTTTGTTTTGTATATTTTCAAAGAGTTTCTTCACTCATTCATTTTTTTTTTTTTGTTCAGTGGATGAGTTTGCTTAATATTTTGAAATATTTGCATCAAGGAAATGATGCATTAAAGTGACACATCCATATAAAAATATTAAAATATTAATGTGTTTTCAGAGGTAACATTCGATAAGAATGTTTCAATGCAAGAAGTAGAAATAGAGATATTGTATGATGGACAGAAAGAAATGAGAGAAGTTTTCACTGTACATTTACGTAATAGAAAAGGCATTGCTGATATCAAGGTATGGAGAAGAATTTTATATTATAACAAGCGCTGCAGAAAGTTTTTGTAGGGCAATTGACTGAGTCTGTGTTTTACTAAAATATTATTTGAAGTACCCCTATCACTTATAAAAATGATAATCTGCATTATGGTTTCTCTACATTTGATAAGAAAAAATAAAGTTTTAAGTTTATCAAAATATAACACAATTAATCAGTTTACAGTATTTGTACCCCTGTCACTTATAAAAATGATAATCTGAATCATGGTTTCTCCACATTTGATAAGAAAAAGTAAAGTTTCAAGTTTTCCAAAATATGACACAATTTATCTGTTTACAGTACTTCAATTCTGGGCAAGTCAAAGTTTGATTTTCATTTTAAAAAGTATTACATATGGCTGGAAGGAAGTTCTAAGCAACATATGACGTGACAAGATATTTGATAATAAAATTTTGTCTAATTAAAATGCTTGATTTCCGATTGTCTGACTCTGTATTTTTTTTTTAGAATCAGAAAGCTATAGTATTTATTGAAGAGCGTAATAAAGTAGCAGACGTCACTTTGCCTTCAGAACCAATGGTCATATCATTACGAGATTATGATAATAGTGAGGTGGCTGTAGAACAACCATATCAAGGCTATCCTGTAGTCTGTTTAACAGTGAGTTTCATTTCAAGATCCTAGTCCAAGCTGTTTAACAGAATTTCCTTCAATCCTGATCCAATCTGTTTTTAGTGTAATGGAAAGTTTCCTAAATCCGAGGTAGACAACTAAACAGGAAGTCTGGTCAATATCATCACTGCCATTGGAACAACCAATCAGGGCTCTAAGAACTGCGTGTTTATATTTAAGTTAATTTTTTTTTGGACAAATTGCTCATGGGCAACTTGAGAATATTTTAGGAGTGAAGATAAGAACAAAGGCAGAAACAATCTGTAAGACTAGATCAAAAACTTCTATCATGCCAAACAAACATGTCCGTGCGTCTAAAGTTCCTGCCTTTTCTAGACTTTTTGATAAATATGTTTGTGAACTTTCTCTTTTCAGCCATGCAATCCCAAGCATCCAGATTATCCTAAAACAGGAGCCATTTGTGCATCAGAGGGAATCAATGATACATTAACATTGTACAGATGGAGAGTATCTGCCCCCACCGGTGTTGACGGTGTCAGTAATAATTTACAATCTGTGGAATCTAACACATTCTTTGCTAATACCAGAGGGATATCATTAGACAGCATCTATTTCTCTGGAGGTATGTCAGATTTTTTCGTGCTTGATCTATCAAAGGTGTGTGAGTAAGGTGGTATGTTACCCTTGATCTACTTGGTTGATAGTCTTGTCAAAGGGACAGGGTGTTATTGACACTGTCAGAGCTTTAAAATCTTTACAACATACTGTCATTTTGGTTCATGAGGATCCTTTCCACCTAACGTCTTGGCATTGATTTTCTCTGATTCATATCCAGTTACAACTGGCAGAGTAGACTGGCATAATGAGGGAAGATGACTTATTCACCTGGCTTTCACATGTCGACTGAGTTTAGAACCAACAATCACCATTTGCTTGAATGATCAAGCATATTCCAATGCTCTAATGAATTTGGCTACAATCCATCCCCAACTCTGTGTCATCCTATGTCATCATGCTTTTTCATTTGCAATCTTAGCATTCACTAATTCTACCAATTGTCTTGTTGGGTAATAAATTAATCTGGTTAAAATAAATTGTCTGATCCAATATTGACTCATATTACTAGTAGGTCAATGTCTGATGGGTTTAATGGGATTAAGCTGGATTAGACGGGTAATTACAGAGGATTAAATACAAAGATTGGTTGTCTGACATTTATTGTCAAGTGAAATAAGTCTTGGATTACTTTAATTGTTATCTTCGACAAAATTCTTAAAGAGCTGTTGGTCTCTAGCTGAAGGTTGTTTGACAGTAGACCCTACATAATTTTTTATTAAAATGCAAGTTTTATTACATCATGCAGTGTGTAATGAAGGAAATTTTTGTTCCTATAGTAGTACGTAATGATGATTACAAATCTCAAGGAGTTTAACATTCACAGAAACGAAATCCTTTGTGAATTGAGGCTGCCACAAATGACAACGTAATAAAGTTAAAGGGACAGTGCGGCATTTTGGCTGGGTTGATATTAGAATATATGTAATTAGTCTTCAGAAGTACTAGAAATGTACGAAAATCGCATAATTCCTTTAAAACTATTTATTTAATTCACTATTTCTACATTATGTCTTTTATATAATTCAAAAGTATTATCTTAAAATGACGAGTCATCAATTTGACATTCAAACGCATGTAATTCTGAACACATATAGATTTAAAGGCTCAAATTTTGACGATGAGCTGTGAACACTATTACTGATAGGCTTTCTGAAACTAAAGTATGATTGGACAAATAGTATGGCCAACCTGTCCCTTTAACAAAATTGTGAGCCTAAGAAAGTTGTAGGCTCTCATATTTTGAAAATTTTCCAAAAATTGATATGTATAGCCAAGCACAGATATTGTTGCTGGTCCATGTAGACAACCAGTCTACTTTATTTTCAAAGGTATGAAAGGTAACCCATTTGGAAGGTTTGACTAATCCTTCAATTGAATATAAATGATATTGAACTACCGGTAATAATCATTATAGTTTAGTCTTTGTTACATATTACATAATCTGTCCAAATTACTTGGATAGCATCTAGATTCAGTTGAAAATCTCAGAAACTTAGAGCGAAACAATAAGATATAAAACTATGGTACTGTTATACTTAACAATCAACTGTTGATTCAGAATATTGGTTCCTCCATTTTGCTTAGAGCTAGTAATGATGTACCTGTACAGAGAGAAGATATATTTTAGGTACAAAAATTCCAAATTGTTTCAAGCCAAATGATGATGTGAAATTTCTGTTGACTTAGCTTGATTTCTTCTGATATTCCAATTTAATCCATTTCAGGAAGTAGAGTGCAATGTGGTGCCAGAGCAGTGAACATGGAAGGTGATCCTGGTTCAGAATTACTCAGTGAACCGGTTATAATCAGTCAAACCAATGGTTTATGTGAACCAAGACTCATGGGATCAGTTGGTGCTGAACCATTTACTGCTAAATTTAGATACACTGGTATGGATTTATTTCATCTCTCAACTCTGAAAATCATTTTAAAAGTGGCAAAGCTTAAATGCATTGCATGATGGACAATCATGTATTTTATTTTTTAAGCTTGGTAGCCCAAATTGATTTATGATGGTATTTTTATAAGCTCTTTAGTGAATATTATCGAGCTTGAAACTCAATATAGATTTATATAAGTTTAAAGGTTTGTGGGTGAATATAACAGAGCTTTAAGCTCAATATGAAGTTATATAAGTTTGTGGGTGAATATAACAGAGCTTTAAGCTCAATTTTTAAGTTATATAAGTTTGTGGGTGAATTTAACAGAGCTTTAAGCTCAATATGAAGTTATATAAGTTTGTGGGTGAATATAACAGAGCTTTAAGCTTAATATGAAGTTATATAAGTTTGTGGGTGAATATAACAGAGCTTTAAGCTCAATATAAAGTTATATAAGTTTGTGGGTGAATATAACAGAGCTTTAAGCTCAATATAAAGTATATTAACATTTGTGGCTTGTGGATGAATATGATGGAGCTTTAAGCTTGATATGAAGTGTTCTAAGTTATGAAGCTTGGAGCTCAATTTTAAGTTCTTACAACATGAAGCACATGCAAAATGATTGAAGCTCAAAATATAGTTCAATAAAGCTGTTTGCTTTAATGCTAAATAGATTTCAACTTAAGCCAAAAGGTAAGATATGTACCAAACTGTGAAATCCTATTTTTTTTTAGGACCTGATGATCCCAAACATCCTAACAAAGTGAAAGTAGCAGTGACAATACCTCATAGAGATGGTATGTTACCAGTAGTCTCTACTAACCAGTTATCAAATTTTGAACTTACGCTTAGTAAAGATGGCACCAGACTGGCGCTGCATCCATGTTCTAATCTACTGGACTATGATGAGATACCTACTGGGTATGGTTTTATAACCAATGCTACGAAAGACATAGATGTCATTGGAGAGGTGGAACCATATCAGTACAGCAGTGAAATTAGGGGCGAACCAACTTTAAGATTTTATAAGTAAGTAACTTTTGTAAAGACTCTTCAATGCAGAAATGCATGTCTGGTTTCCTTTTTTTCTGCAGGTTACTACACTTGTTATTTGTGATCTGACAAGATTTTTCCATTATTGTTTTCTGTTGAATTTTGACCCAATGACATGAGAAGCTAAAACACTGTTAAACAATATTACAAGTTCATGCTTAACAATGAATATCCCACAATTCCTCACATATTGTAAGAAAAGTTTGTATTGAATTTGATTGGTTGAATATTAATTGATACAAAACAGAAATTCATAAAGAATGAATACATAGGTATGAGGATTCTCAAAATGATCAAACAAAGCACACCATGATTGGAATAAGGGTTTATGAGCATAGATATGTTTCTGTTTTATTTCAGGAATCTCAATCTTGAAGCCTGTGTTTGGGAATTTGAAAGTTATTTTGATATGTCAGAACTGGTCAATGAGTGTGGTGGTTCTATTGACACAGATGGACAGGTATGTTTAGTCACCATTGGTGACCTTTTTCTCAAAGTTAGGTATGGAGTCAGGTATGTAGTCACTGTATCTCATAGTTAGGTATGGAGGTCACTTTATCTCAGAGTTAGGTATGGAGGTCACTTTATCTCAGAGTTAGGTATGGAGTCACTTTATCTCAGAGTTAGGTATGGAGTCACCATTGGTGACCTTTATATCAGAGTTAGGTATGGAGTCACTTTATCTCAGAGTTAGGTATGGAGTCACTGTATCTCAGAGTTAGGTATGGAGTCACTGTATCTCAGAGTTAGGTATCGAGTCACTTTATCTAGGTATGGAGTCACTTTATCTAGGTATGTAGTCACTTTATCTCAGAGTTAGGTATGGAGTCACCATTGGTGACCTTTATATCAGAGTTAGGTATGGAGTCACTTTATCTCAGAGTTAGGCATGGAGTCACCATTGGTGATCTTTATCTCAGAGTTAGGTATTAGGTCACTTTATCTCAGAGTTAGGTATGGAGTCACTGTATCTCATAGTAAGGTATGGAGTCACTTTATCTCAGTTAGGTATGTAGTCACTATATCTAAGAGTTAGGTATGGAGTCACATTGGTGACCTTTATATCAGAGTTAGGTATGGAGTCACTTTATCTCAGAGTTAGGCATGGAGTCACCATTGGTGATCTTTATCTCAGAGTTAGGTATAAGGTCACTTTATCTCAGAGTTAAGTATGGAGTCACTTTATCTTTAGTTCTTTTATACACATAGCAATGTTGTTCATCCCATTAGTTAAATTTGTGTAATTCTCCAGACTGTTCATTTAATCTTCAATTGCTTGTGAACACTCTGGAGACTAAATGTTTTCATGGAAAACTATGATTTAATGGATGTTTTAATGGTATGTTTTATGTAAATAGATGACAGTTGTTATGAGTTTGATTAACACAATTTTTTAAATGCTCATTGCCTCATTGATAATGACTCTAGTGGATTAACAGGGATGAAAATTTTAAGGGTATCTATAAATTGACAACATTTATTGCAGGTACTGAATGTAAAACAATCGTATGTATCATTGAGAGTTCCTCTGCATGTGTCCTATGTCTTCCATTCACCTGTGGCAACAGGAGGCTGGCAACATTATGATATGTCATCTCAACTACAACTGACATTTGTCTATGATACCGCCATATTGTGGCAGAATGGAATAAGTTCTCCAGAAGCTAATACTGGTCTTCAAGGTAAGAGATTAGAAGGCTGGAATTCCATCACTCATCCAGAGACTGCACCAGTGGAGGTCCGGGGGGAAGGGAGAATTTGACTCCCTAGAAAAACAGTTTGCACCGCCATTTGTACACCCACTTTAATTTTAGCAAATTTAGAAAAATATTATTTTATATGTTTTGCCTCTAAAAATGTGTCCGAATCAAAATCAGTTCTGTTTTTCAAATTTGGTTTCTATAGGTAACCTACTTATAAATAATCATCTGTCTTCATTAGCCCACATTGTGCAGAAAAGTAGGACATAAAACTCCATTCATTTCATTTCATAAGTAATCATATAAAAGATGTTGAGTTTGCGTGTTTAAAGGGAGCTAACTACAGTTAGAAATCCAAATCTTGAAAAGAATAACCATTAATAAACATTACTATACGATTCTATTCAGATTGGTAATTTATATTTTGTAAATATCATTGTATCTTTGACTGGATACTGTCAAACCCTAGTCTAATAGATCTTGCGCAATTTAATGGCAAATGGATACATTGGGATACATTGTGATACATGCATGGTCGTGTATTAATACTTTACAATACCATGCACAACAGACAAATAAGTATACATAAACCTTGAAAACATACAAATGCATTAAAAAATAAAGAATTCAGGTTCCATTTTCAAACACAAATTTCACAGCTCATCTGTCAAAAATTAATCAATGATAAATTACTAGTATTAAAGATATCGTCTTAAAATTATTGAAACCTAGTGGAAGATAAAGAGTTTATAATGCAATATGTATTGTATTGCCTCTTATGCAGTGGCAGAGCCACAGGGGGGGCCCCCCCTCGCAGCCCCGAAGGCTAGTTTTTCGGGCAAGGCATTAAAAAATTTTTTTTTTTCAACGCCCCCTTTTTTTTTTTTTTGTTTTGAAATTTTAAAATGATACCATATCTTTGCCCGAATATCCTATACTATAACTGTATTTTTTTAAATTGATAGCCCGATTCTATTCTCCTATAATAATATTTCATAATTCATATTATTTAAGGATCGAAATCACTGCCCGAATGTCATTCGTATGATTATATTTTACATATTTCAAAAATTGAAAT